GGAAAAAGTTTGTAGCCTGTGTATAATAGTAAGTTAACACTGCCAGAAAAAAAATCTTTGCAAAACAACTTTTCTAATATTGTGGGTATTTATGAATATGTAAAGAAAGCACGTTTTGTTTTTATGTTGATTGACCTTCTGGCTTTTTTTTTTGAACTATAGAAATGGTGTATGTTTTATTGGAACTGCAATAAGAAGTAACCAAAGATGAATCCAGTTAAATATTTTCATAATTTTTTCTTGGTCAGGTTTTGTAAACTTTCCCAACTTGCTTTCAAAATAAAAATAAAATCAAGGCCTGAGTCTTGTGATTAAGAGAGCAACTCTAGGTTGAAAAAAGCTGGCTCAAAGGCTTACTTCAGTTCTGGATGACAGGAATACGTGGCTTGAGATAGTATTCACTGTTAGTGCTGAATTATAACCAGGGAGAACTGTCATCCATATTCAGTATTATTTATCTCCTACATCCTACTGAAGTGTCACACTATTAAATCCGTAAGACTCAAGAACTTCTGCTCTGCATCATGGCACTCTGAAGAGTAGGCAGTGACTGTGACTGACAAGAGAAGATGGCTTTTGATGGCACTCAGCCTGCCCTCCTCTAGCCCTCAGAATATCTCCAGTGGCACAGGAAGCAGTGCAGTTTAAGGGGACCACAGGAAATAATTTTTATGAGGGTTAAAGGGAATTACCCTACCAGCAGTGACTGAAAGCAGGAACACTTGACTAAACATTCATAAAAACGTATGCTCTGCCTGAAGAGCTACCCTGCTTTCAGCTGGTGTCTGGCAGAACCTTCCTCCAGTGACTGTTGATCACATTTTCCATCAAGCTGGTTGTATGGGTCAGCAGCTTGTTGGAGGTTTCAGATGTGTTTTTGTAGTTAAGACTTTGAGCTTTACCATATGTTCCTTTTGGAAGGGTTTTTCCCCACCCTAAACCATTAGGTTAAGTGGCAGCATGTAAAGCCGTAGGTGCAGTAAGGATAAAGGCAAGATCTGGGAGGAGGCTGGGGCTCTAACATGATAGGAAGTGGGAATCTCTGGCCTCTGTCTCCTCTTGTTATTGTGTGATTATCACCTTCTGCAAGAGGTGAAATCCACGATTGAAGTAGCTAGCATATGGTCTTTCCAGAAAGGCAACCCTAGGTTGTTTTTTCAAAACCCACTGTGAGTGCAGAGCACTAAACTGAAACCCTGGTGCTTTTTTCCCCTCACTTCTCCAGCCTCCACAGCCCAGCATGCCACTAAGGAACAGCAGAGGGAAGTTCAATTGAGAGCCGTTTAATCAATCAGAAGGAAAAAAAAACAACTAACAAAAGAAAGAAACCTGCTCCCCTTTTGGTCAGTTCTTGATGGAATAAAGAAGGTCAAAACTTGAGGGGGGAAAAAAAAGCCTGTTTCAGGAAGGAGTCTTCTAGCTCTATCCAGTGGCCCAGGCCAACTTCATCTTCTGGCTGTGAGCTTTGGAAGATTTAGAAAACAAGCTCTTCACTATTTGAAGTGGCACAGATTTCCCACTGAGGTACAGTTTATTGTGGCAGTCTGGCAACCAGGGTTCTGCACCAGTGTCTGTGTTCTTTCCTTTTTTGAGCATCCAGACATAAGCCATGATATAGCCAGTCATGAATGCATCAAAGCCAGCTCGGTGTGTGCCCCCCTGTGAAGGTGGACCATGGGTCTCCTTTTCCTTTCCTGCAGCACATGCTGCTTCAGTCTCATGGATGTCAGAGTGATTGGCTGAACCCCCCCCAGTGGGAACCTCGGACTTCCCCTCCACTTGGTCAGAGACATTTCCCTTGGCAAAAGGGCTCGCAGCAACTGCCACCTGGCCAGCAGTTCCTTTTGTGCTCTCCAGATCTTCTTCCTGTTGTGCACTGGTGTCTGAGCTGACTTCAGGCTCCATGTCCATGGAGTTCTCCTCCAGCAGCCTGCTCTCAGTGTTGGGGGTGATCTCTGCCAGCTCTGCAGCAGCTGCAGGCTCATAGCAGCTCTGTTTTTGTGGTGGTCCCTCCTCTCCATTCTGAGCTAGCTCCATTTCTTTCCCTGAGCTTTCCTGTTCAGATGTCTTTGCAGGCTCTTCTGTGTTCTTCTGACGCTTCCATTTCTTTTTCCGTTTCTTCCGTTTCTCCTCCCAAAGCTTGTCGTCCTCTTCAATTATGAGGTCAATGTTATGAGAATGTGGACACTTCATCCCTTTTGGACACCAGCCATAGGCCTAGGGAGAGAAAGAGAATCCTGTAGCCACCAGTCTCCTGGTTAGAGCAGCTTCTCACCACAATCTGGAGCAGAACTAATTATTCCCCTCTGCTTGAGGGCCTTTGAGGCTGTTGGGAGCAATGTGTCCAGTTACAGCCTCACAACACTAGAAAGTCACAGACCAACTGCAGCAAGCCCAGCAGGGGACTCCTGAGACACAGCAAACAAAGCTGGGTTTGTTCTGCCTGGAAAAGAAAAGGCTAACAGGATGGGGATATCTAGTTGCTGTCTGCAGCTACCTAAAGAGGAGGTCCTACAAAAGATGGAGCTGAACTGATGGAAGCACAAGGGAAAGGTGCAGTGGTGACAAGTCAGGGAAAATTCTGGGTAATAGAGAAAAACATTTCTCACAATGAGCAGTCAGACTCTGGAACAGAGGCTTGGAGGGGTTTTGTAATCTCTGTCCTTAGAGATTTTCAAAATTCACCAAGCAAAGCTCTAAGCAACACTGAGTTGGTGGTTGGGTGAGAAACTTACAGAGGTTTCCCCAGCCTATGTTGTTCTGTGACAGTAATAGGCAACACCTGAAGGAGCTCCTTTTTTCCCTGAAGCATCTGAAACTACCTATGATCTGATGAGCTCTCCTTACACTGCTGTAGCAGAACCAGGACCCAAGATGCTGTGAATCACACCCAGAAGCTGCCCACAGGTTATGCTTTTTTATATCTAATCAAGATATGGGGGAGAGAAGAGGTGGCATTTCTTGCTCAGAGGGCAAGAAAAACTAATTAAGGACTTGCAGCCCTCGCAAGACAGCAATGGGTACTGTACCTTGTACCATCCCACTATTTAGGGCCATAAAATCTCCTTCTGTCTAATGTAACCTGTGGAAATCACTGCCTCCAAACAGAGCATGCTTTCTGTTGTGAAGCTGTAAAGTCTTTTGAGGCAGAAGATCTTGTATTGTGAAGCAGGCAAGAGGAAGTGCTTTCCTACCACTTCCTGCTCTGGTCACATGTGGCTCTTTCCATGGACCCAGAAAGAAAGCAGCAGGGATTCATGTTACTTACAGAAAATTTCTCACAGACAGGGACCTTGTTTTCCCCTCCCACATTGTGGGTGCTTTCTTCCAGAGAGCAGTGTCGGTAGTCAATGTAATGGGACATGTTGGCAGGGTAGTTGCAGAACTCAATGGTGAGGTGCTGGCCTCTGGAGTCCTTCAGCTTGTCATTCTCTCGCTTGCTGGAACAAACAAGAGTACAGTTACTCTGTGGTTAACTCACTGAAGGTACGTGGAGCTGGTGCAAACGTACTGCTTTCCACCAAGTCTCAACTCCACTAGTTTCCAGCTCCTAAGCTCTAGCCAGCTCAACAGCCTGGTGTAGAGAAACTCAGTCCTGGGAGAACAGCTTGAGTACTTGTTTCTGTGCTGACTTAAAGGCTGGTTTCTCTTATGCCGACATACAGACAGGGATAACACTGTCCCTGGTGAAGCAGTGGGAGAAGGGGACATGTAGTTTGGTTTTAAATATTAAGGATAATAAGCTGTGTCTTGGATCTCATAATATTAGTGGACAAAGAAGAAATGCCCCAAAATGAAGTATGTAGAGCATGCAGAGGATCTGCCCAGACAAGTGAAATCTGGACAATGTAGACACCAAAGAAATGTTCCATCCTGTGAGAAAAGAGCTGTTGTGTCCTAACAGCTGGCTAAAAGGCCCAAAACTTTTGGAAGGTTCCATGTAACTAGAACTGTGGGTTAAAACATTTAGGAGGTTGATTTTAAAAGTATTTTCATCTTGTCAAAACAAAGCATTCTCATGTTAGAGGACAGCCATCTTAAATGTTTTCAGACCTGTCAAAATGGCATCTCCTGATATAAAACAGTCCCTAAAAATACCTTTTCTGCTCTGCATCGAGTGTGACTTCAGTTTAATGGAGCTTCAAGGGGCTTGTTTAGATTGTGCAGGGAGTGCAGAACAAGGGGCCAGAGTGACATATGAAGCAGACAGACATCTCTGTTTCTAAAAATGTGTGTGCCTGGAAGGTGTCCTTGAGGAGCTGGGGGCAGGAAGCAAGAAAGGATGCCCTGGAACAAGAACACAACCTTTGCGTGGAAGGAAAGTGATGGGAGTTGTAGCTGGCCACAAGTGAGTGTCATGTGCAGGACCTGTGACAGAGCTGGTCAGCATCAGGAGCAGCCACCCTTTAACTGCACCACCCCTTAGAGAACCCAGTTACAACCCACAGGAACAGCCCTGCTTTTGTGTGCTCTCCAGCTGAGCTTTAAGGGTCTCTCTTCTGCGGGTGTTCCTACAACAATCCTGTGGCTCTGCTGGACCAGTGCATCAATTATTTTTCAGATCAGGTCACTCTGTAGTCAAAACAGCTGCCAGCAGAAGACTGAGTCCTCTTTTAGCAGCTGCCCACTAAACAGGTAAGTAGTATTACAAAATGCAGCCTTACACACTCAGCAGTCATCCTAGAAACGAGAATACCACGTGGCAGAGTGACCTGAAAAGTGCTTTTCTTCACTCATTGGGGTAATACAAAGACTCCTTGCCTAGAAAAACAAACAAAACACTGATGCTCCCTTGGCCTTTCTTCCTGTAAGTTTTAAACACCAGAGCCCTGCTTACCACTTCTTGTAAGCATATTCCAGGTAGGATGCTACAAAGCGAGTCTCAAACTCTGAAGCATATTTGGTGTCAGAGGTCAGCAGTGAAGGTGCTAAGCTTGTCTGGGAGGTGAGCATAGAAGCACTCATACAGGAAGACCAGATCAATCAGACCGTTGTGGAGGATGAGGGGCTTCTTGGCTCGTATCAGCTCCAGAAAAAACGTCCTAACGCTCCGGCTCTGGTTTTCATTGCCCTGCAAGAAGGATCAGTCAATAAGCCTTGACTTGCCATCACCCCAGGAAGTCCTCAGAACCTGCTGTAGCACAGTACTGCCCTCAGCTGTGACTTGGTCTGAGCAAACAGAGGTCCTGAATCTGGCAAAGCAAGTGATAAAAACCAGCAGGGAGGTGACAGGGATGATGCTGCACTGCAGACCCCAGTGTGAGCCCAGCTCCCTCGGCAGCTGTGTGAGGGACACTGTGACTGGGAGACGCCAGGAAGCTCTCCGAGCCTGAAGCAGAACAAGCTGAAGGGTCTGAAGACAAGTTCTTTTGTACCTTGTCGTTGCCCTTGTGGTAGGGGATCCCCTGGGAGTACTGCTTGTTGAAGTCAAAGCCGTGCTGCACCAGGAACTGCACCGACTGGGGCTCCACCACGTAATCCTCCGTGCAGAGGAGCGTCAGGTTGTAGATCTGGCAGCGGTAGGTGTGCTCGGGCTGCAGAACAGAGAGCGGGCAGAGACACGGGCACCCGTCACCAGGAACTGCGGAAAAATCCAGGGGGAGCCCATACGGCACGGGTGGGCTGTATCCCCTCTCCCAGCGGAGTCCCGGTGCTCCCTGGGAAGGCGGGAATAAGGGGGAATGGCGGGTTCGCGGGCCCGGCACGTACCTGCTCCGGGAGCTGCCTGAAGCAGGCGACGCCGAGGGACAGGACGGAGCGGGTCCGCGCCGCGCTGCA